CTCAAAATAAAAAAGGGCTGGCGATCGGCTCAGTGTGAAGGCCTTGGGTTCAAGCCGGGGGGGCGGGGGGGAGCGGTGCGCACAGGCCGGATTTGGGGGGACTTTAGGTGCCTGCCGCTGTGGTCCAAGCACACACTCCCACTTCTTGCCCCATTTTCTTGGCATCTTCACTGCCTGCCCTGTGCCCTGGACCAACAGCCCCGAGAGCAGGGCCTGCTACCTCCTGTTTAGCTTGAGGGCCAGGCACACCAGACACCCTTGGCAAAAATTTGTCACATAAATGAAAAGACTGCCAACAAAATTGGCATGCAGCAGAATTTTATTTACTTAAGTTTTGTTTTTGAGGTAACATCCCACTATGTGGTGCAGGCTGGTCTCAAACTCACTGTCCTCCTCCTTCAGCCTCCCTAATGCTGGGTTACAGGCGTGTGCCACCACATGGCTCTCGCTGTGTAGCCCAAGCTGGCCCCACACAGCTCTAGTCCTAAAAGAAAGGTACAGTCTCTCAGACCCCCATGGGACACAGGCCCATCCTGACTGGGGGGGAAGTGACTGGGAGCGGTAGTCAGACTTTAGGCTTCGCAGGGTCGGAATCTGGATTCAACATTTTTGTCTTTATTTCTCTGGCCCCGCCTTCTTCCCACCCCATCCCGAACTGGGAAGCAAGGGTTAACTTTTAGGAAGTTCCTTCATCACCTGAATGGGACGGGGGCAGGGAACTTCCTGTCCCATTTTCTTGGGAGTCCTTCCCTAGGCTGGTGGAAGCTGGCTCTGGTCCTGGAACCCTCAGAGAACCCCATACCATCTCTTCGTCTGTAGTGGGGACCCCGAGTGGTGAGTTGGAGGCCTGTGGTATAGGTTCACAGCAGCATGGGGAGGAGGGGGACTCCAAGCCTGGGTGGGGGTGGGGGTGGAACAGTCTTGGGAGAATGGGGGAGGGTGTTTGTGCTGGGGAACCCTGCTAGCCAGCTCCATGGTCTTTGGGGATGGGGGCATCAAGGTGGGTCCCAGGATGTCCTGTGATAATGAAGGAGGCAGGCTCCACGTGTCCCCAGGTGAACCAGCCAGCCTCATTCACTGACCCCGTTGAAGGGAAGCCTGGCCAACAAAGAGGAGCAAATGGGGCACCTGCAGTTGTGTGAGCAGAGGAAGGGATGTTCCTGCCGGAGGCTCGCACCCTTTGGCCTCCCTGGCTGTGTGGGTCTCATCACAGGATCTGTACTGAGGCTGACCCTATGCTGCTCTACTTCACAGCACCCCAAACTAGGCTGGTTAGACTTTAGATGGTGGCTGAAGAGCTCTCCTGCCCCCAGCCCAGCTGACCCCCTACAGATCTGCATATTAATAGAGCCTTTGTCCTGGAGACCTGGGGGGAGGGATAGACTCTTTAAGGGCAACTTGCTTGAATTCCACTTGGAAACCTTTTGGGGAAGCCTCACCTGGAGGGAGATTCCAGCCACCCTGTGTGGCTAGACATAAAGACTGGAATTTGGAATCCTCTTACTTCTTTGAGTCCTGCTGTGATATTCTAGCTAGGAAAATTGCAAGGCCCAGAGGGAAATCAGGTTCTCTCTGTTCCAGAGATTTATGGGGTCTAGAATTACACTCTCACAGCCAATCTTGGCTACACCTGGTGTGACCATGTGCAAGTTACCCTTGGTCTTTGGACTTGTCAAATAAAGAAATTATGATGTAGTGCTCCAGGTGGAGTGCGATGAAGCAAGTATCAGTGTGGTGCCCCAGCAGGTCATCCTCTGTGCCTCCCTGCTGCTGTTGAGGGGCACTGCTGAAAGGGATTGGCTCTCTAGCTATTTCGCATGTGCAAAAAATGTTTTTTCTTGCATTTATCAAAGATCTTCTCTGCCCTAGACGTTGTTCATGTGTTGCTCAATTCTTAGCCTCTGAGGTAGGCATTATCACTGCTGTTTCCTTATATCTACTAACAATTATGGAAGTCCCTTCCAAGGCTGAATGAATACTTACTAAACTTATTAAACTAGAAACAGTGCCTATTCAAAGGCCAGGGGAAAGAAACACACTCAACTGGGACTTAACTCCAGCCACTGACAGTTGATGTGTTGCGGGGTCCCAGAAGGGGGAGGCACTGGGAGGGGAAGGAGGGACTGCAACAGGAAATGTCCCAAGGAATCGGATGGCAAAGTGCAGCCCAGAGCCCAGGCTAGACAGGCTGTGTGTGGGAGGGAGAGGTATGTGTGGGAGAGAGATGGAGCCTGGCTCCTGGTTTCAGTGTCAAATCCCTCTCTTTCCTGTGCCCATGCTTAAAGTCCAGGTCTCCTGTGTTCCCTAACCCCCAACCCTGTTCACACCACCTGAGAAGGTTTTTTGTTTTTGATTTTTGGCAGAACTGGGGATTAAACCCAGGGCCTTCTTACTGAGCTACATCTCAAACCTTTTTTTTTTTTGGTACCAGGGATTGAACTTGCACTTGCCAGGCAGGCAGCAGAACCACTGAGCTAAATCCCCAGCCCCTTTATTTTCTTAATTTTGAGATAGGGTCTCCCTAAATCTCAAAATTGCTCAGGCTGGGCTTGAATTCACTTACTTACTTCTCTTTTTTTGAGACAGTATTTTCTATGTAGTTCATGCTAACCTTGAACTAACTATGTATCCCAGGCTGGTCTTGAACTCGAAGTGATCCTCTTGCCTCAGCCTCCTGAGTGCTAACATTACACATGTGCACCCTGAGTCCCATGTAAAGGAACTGGCCCAGCTCTTAACTAGGCTGACCTCTCCTGGCTCTGTCACTGAGGCTGCATTTTCTCTGGGTGTGTCTGTACCTCAGAGCCTTAGTGAGTTACTCGTACTGGTGTCATACATGGTGCTGGTGAGAGCAATAGCTAGTTGGTGGCTGGCACTGAGGTACGCCTACCATGTGCTGCTGTGCTTGTGGGGCTCTAGTCTGGGCTATCAGGCGGTAGGGAGCAGTGCGGGAGGGTAGGGATGCCCTTCGGGTGTGGGAAGATGGGAATGGCCGAAAGAGGTAATAATATCCTATTCAGAGAAAGTTGATCCTCCTGGGTGGTGGGGAAGGACCAAATTGATTCCTCTGTGTTTGGGACTGAATTTGGGCCAGTCCTTCTTGATAGCTCTGGGCTACCCAAAAAAGGAAGAAGTCCCACAGGGGTGGGGAGAGGAGATAGAAGGAGGGGCCTGATTCTGCAGAACCAGTGCCCTTACTTCTGTCCCCCCACCCCATTAGAGACACTGTTTCCATTGCTAGCCAGACTCCAGGTTTGGGTGAGTACCACTGAGAGGGGTGATGGAAGTAAGGAACATCCAGGATTAGGGGCCAATGCCCTGGCTTCCAAGGCACAACCACTGGGGGCTCTCCTGCCTGCAAGCCAGTCTTCCTCCCACCTGAAATCCCATCCATTCAGCCCAGATCCATGACCTTGACACTTCCAGAAGCTCTCTCTCTTGTAACACCCATTTACAGCTGGCCTCAGTCTCTAGGGCTAGGACTATGGAAAGCAAGGACACTGGAGAGCCACTGAGCTCATCCCTGCCCGGCTCAGCTGAGTGGCCTTGGTCTTGACCTTTGAGAGACACCTTCAGAGCTATAAAGCCAGGCTCAGGATGCCTGGTCCAGGAGATAGCACAGGCATAAACTTTTCCGCAACCTTCTACTTTGAAAGTGCTCGAGCATCCAGAGAAATTGAAAGAACAGCTCGATGGATTTACTATGTGGGTCTCATAAGCCTATAAACATGGCCAAAACCTGTAGCTTTTTTTTTTTTTTTTTTTTTTTAATTGCAGATCAAGTGAAGCCAGGGCCTTTGCACTGAACTACATCTCCTGCCCTTTTTTAATTTTTTTGTTTTGAGATAGGGTCTTGCTAAATTAAGTTGCCCAGGCTGGCCTCAAACTTCCCATCCTCCTGCCTCAGCCTCCCGGAGTGTGGGGATTACAGGCAGCATGTGTCACCACACTCGGTTAGAGCATCTTCTAATGGAAACATTGAGTACATCCAGAAGACTAGCATCACATGTAACAAATTTACAGTCAAATCTATCCCATCCATATTCATATTTCCCCAAATGACTAGACTGTCTTTAAGAGCCCCTTAAAAGTATATACATCTGGGGCTGGGGATTTAGCTTAGTAGTGCTACCACTGCCTACCTCACAAGCACAAGGTCCTGAGTTTGATCCCCAGTATCCCCCTCCCCAAAGTATATACATGTGTAGCAAGGCCTGGAGGTGCATACCTGTAATCCCAGCACTTGGGAGGCTGAGGCACAAGTATCAATTGTCTTGATTTCAAGGCCAGCCTGGGCTACATAGTGTTTAAGGCCAGCCTGGAATACATAGCAAGACGCTGTATCAAAAAACCAAACCAAGGGCCGGGGATTTAGCTCAATGGTTCCACCGGCTGCCTTGAAAGCTAAGGACCCGAGTTCGATCCCTGGTACCAAACCACCCCCCCCCCAAAAAAAGATACATCTGGATCTAATCAAGGATTACACTTGATAGGGACAGCTCTTTAGTCTTATAGAACAGCACCCCCTATAGGCACTTATTTCTATGACAGACTGAAGAACCCAATTCTGTTTGCTAGTCTTTTGGGGGACATTGCTGAATTGCTTGTTAAAGCAGTGGTTTGACTTGTTCCTTATTTCCTGCAATGCCCTATGGACAGGACTGGATTGGATTGGAAGACCTGTCTTCCATAGTGCTATGTGCACGAGAAGGAGGGAAGGACAGGCTGATCCTCTCTGGAGGATGTTCACTTTAATCACTGGGGCAAAGAGATATAGTCTTAAGTGCTGTAGGATGGGATGATCACAGAATCGTATGATTTCTCTGCCCTTGCTGCATTGCTCTAGCTGAGACGTGATTGTAGGAGAAAGGATTCCACTGGGGAAGCTTTTTTGGTGGGGGAAATATTTAGTACTGGGGTTTGATCCCAAGGCTGTTACTCTGAGCTACAATGCTGGCCTCTTTTTTTTTTTAGGCAGGGTCTTACTAAGTCATTAAGTGGCCCAAGCTGGGTTTGAATTTGTGATCTTCTTGCCTCAGTTTCTCAGAATCCTAGGATTACAAGCATGTGCCATCTGATGAGCATCTGGGCTTCTTGATGATCCAGATTGGGTCAGCTTCCCTGCAGCAGATCCTAACCCAGGGTCTTTAGCTCCACAGGTCTGAAAGAGCCAAGAAGAGGAACCTGAGTGGGCCCAGCAACAGGAAGTGTGCATTGCAGTGAAGGATGCTGGCAGAGTCAGTGCCAGCTCCCCTGGAGCAAGAGCAGCTCGGAGCTGTCAAGCTGGAGGAGGAGGAGGCTGCTGGTCTGGCAGGTGTCAGGCATGCAGAGGCCAGGCCTCGGCCTGAGGTGGCCCACCAGCTGTTCAGATGCTTCCAGTATAAGGAGGACATGGGGCCGAGGGCATCCCTGAGCCGACTTCGGGAGCTCTGTGGCCACTGGCTGCAGCCGGCTCTGCACACCAAGGAGCAGATCCTGGAGCTGCTGGTGCTGGAGCAGTTCCTGAGCGTGTTACCCCAGCACCTGCTGGGCCGGCTGCAGGGGCAACAGCTCCGGGATGGAGAGGAGGTGGTGCTGCTGCTGGAGGGTGTGCCCAGGGACACCGGCCACTCAGGGCCACTGGTGAGAGGGGTGTGGAGAGGGACTGGTCACCCCAGAAGAAATCTGAAAACCTGACCTTCTTCTACCCACTCTCTCCTTACCCTCCTGGCTGTGTGAATCTGCCCTCTTCTCTGTCCCATTCCTTTGGAGGCCTGTCACCTAATATGGATGTATTTTCAATAGGATTTTAGTTTCAGCGCTGGCAAGAATTATCCCCGTACAGACATCATCTTGGAGGAACAGGGAGGTCCTTCCCAGATCTCCAGCTACAGTCCCAAAAAGGAAGTACCCTCAGAAGAGCCCACAGCCCTGCTGCCATTGAAGGAAGTGCCCCCATCCCAGCCATGGCCTGTCAGACCTGCTGAGCCCACAGAGTGGACACCTGCCCCCAGTTCCCGGCAGCTACTGAGCCCAGGACCCCAGGGGACACTCCAAGCCCTGCCAGAAAGCAGTGAGGAGCTGGTGCCCAGACAGGGGGACTGGATGTGTAGATGTGTGGATGAGGGCAGAAGGGCCCAGGATGGGAGAGAGCTGGGATGGCTTCATGGGCATGCGTGATGGAGGACAGACATATCCTTGCAGCCACCTGGTAGGGAGAGCTGTCTTCTAACAGTGCTTTCTTCCTCCCCCCACGCTGTTAGCCCTCCAGGGTCCCTCACTGTGGCCTGAGGAGTATTCCCGTGATCAGGAGCTGGCGGCTGTGCTGGTAAGCTAGGCTCACCCCTGCTCACCTTCTCAAGCCCAGGCACCTTCCCTGCCCTGTGCTGCTTCCCCTCCCTCACCCTTTGGTACTGGGGATTAAACCTGAGGTTTTCACACTGGCCTACATCCCAGCACCCCCACTCCCACCACCTTTTTATTTTATTTATTTATTTATTTGTTTATTTATTTATTTATTGGGTACTGGGGATCAAACTCGGAACCTTGTGCTTTCGAGGTAGGCAGCAGAACCACTGAGCTAAATCCCCTGCCCTTTTATTTTGAGACAGGTTCTCACTAAGTTGAACCTGATAGGACTTGAACTGGTGATCCTCCTGCCTCAACCTTCCAAGTGCTAGGATTCCAGGCTTGTGCCACTGTGCCACTGCTGTTTTCTTTAATTTGTCCAGTCAGGCCCTAGCACCTCATTCCTCATTCATTCACCCAGAGCCCTTGCTGTCATTACAGGAGAGCCTGACCTTTGAGGACGTGCCAGCTAAGAAGACCTGGCCTGTGCACCCTCTAGGTAAGCAGCCCCTTTACACCATCATCTTGTCTGCCAAAGGATTTTGCCCGCAGCTTCAGACCTTGCCTGGTTTATGGGCCTTGATGGAGGATCTTTTTTTTTGGTGGTGGTAATAGTTGTACTGGGAATTGAACCAGGACCTTTACACTAAGCTTCATTCCCAGCCCTTTTTCTTGTAGTGTTTGTTTGTTACCAGGGATCGAACTCAGGACCTTTTGCTTGCTAGGCAGGCACCATGCTGCTGAGCTACATCCCCAGCCCTGTTTGCTTGGGGTTTTTTTGGAGATAGGGTCTCACTTGAGGCTGGCCTAGAATTCATTATGTAGCCCAGGCTGGGAGCTCACAATGAGCCTCCCGCCTCAGCCTCTCCAGTGCTGGGATGCTGGGTTTACAGGCATGAACTGCCATGCCTAGCATCCAGCCCTTTCTAATTTGTTTGTTTGTTTATTTTTGGTACTCAGGATCAAACTCAGGACCTTGCACTTTCGAGTCAGGCAGGCACCACTGAGCTAAATCCCTGGCCCAATCTGTTTATTTATTTACTTACCTATTTTTTGGTTTTGTGAGGCAGGCACTGGAACCACTGAGCTAAATCCCCAGCCTTTTTTTTTGGTTTTTTGAGACAAGGTCTTGCTACATAGTTCAGGTTGGCCTTGAACTCACTATGTAGCCCACACTGGCCTCATTCACAGCAATCCTCTTGCCTCAGCCTTCTGAGTGCTGAGATTACAGGTATGTGGCACCACACCTGGCTCTTTTTATTTTTTATTTCAAGACAAGATCTCACTAAGTCACTAAACTGCCCAGGCTGCTCTCAAACAAGCATACAACACCATGCCCAGCATCTATCTTTCTTTTTTCTTACAATTCCTTGTGTCTGGTCTAACCATTAGATTAGCCTGGGGTTTTTTTTGTGGTTTTTTTTGGGGGGGTACCAGGGATCGAACATGGAACCTTGCGCTTGCAAAGCAGGGAGCGGAACCACTGAGCTAAATCCCTGGCCGCCAGCCTGTTAATTTTGAACTTTTAAAACAGATGGTCAAAAGGCCAGGTGTGGTGGCACATGCCTGTAATTCCAGCACTCTAGGAGGCTGAGGCAGGAGGATTGCAAGTTTGAGCCCAGCCTGGGCAATTTAGTGAGACTCTGTCTCATAAAAAGAGCTGGGGATGTAGTTCAGTGTGAAGGTCCTGATTTTAATTCCCAGTGCTATAAAAAGAAAATCAAAAGCTGGGCATAGGGGTACATGGTACTCAGAGCCACCCAGTTACTCAGGAGGCTGAGGCCAGGAGTTTGAGGCTAGCCTGAACAATGTGGCCAGACATCGTCTCAAAAAACAAAACACAAGTATAGGGCCAGAGGTGCAGCTCAGTGGTTGAGCACGCGTCTAACATGCACCAGGACCTAGATTCAGTCCCTAGTACCCATGGGGTATGGTGGTGCATGCCTGTAATCCCAGCACTCAGGAGGCTGAGGCAGGAGGATCACTGTGAATTTGAGGCCAGCCTGGACTACATAGCAAGGCTCTATCTCAAAACAAACCAAAACCCCCCAAAAAAACAACAACAAAAACTAGTACTGGAAAAAACAAAAGCAAAACAAATAAAATAGTGGTCAAGAGAGTGCCTGTCTATGGATATTAGGTTTCCATTTGGAAGTAGTAGTGATAGCTACACAACATTGTGAATTTGCTAAATGGGCCCAAAATGTATGCTTTAAACTGGTATTGTGATAAATTTTGTTATGTGTATTTTACTGAAATTTTAAAAAGAAAAGTGGTAAAGAAAAGACCTTTTCAGCCGGGAATTTACTTCAGTGGTTTCACCGCCTGCTGCGCAAGCGCAAGGACCCGAGTTCGATCCCCAGTACCAAAAACAACAACAACAACAACAACAAAAAGAAAAGAAAAGACCTTTTCATTTGAGGCCCCCAGCCTCTGTCTTCTGGCCCGCTTTGGAGGATCTAGGATTTCTGGTACCGGGGATCAAACTTGGGTCCTTCCGCTTACGAGGCAGGCACTGGAACCACTGAGCTAAGTCCCCTGAGATCTGGGACTCCTTACACTCATTGGCCCATCCAGTCCTGGAGATTCCCAGAGCCCCTCGGGAGAGATCTGACTTTTCTGTGTTTGCTTTTTTCCCAGGATTTGAAAGCAGAACTCCAGACAAGGAGGAATTTAAAATGGAGGAGCCCAAAGAGGCCGCCTGGCCTACTGTCACCTCAGTAGAGTCCCAGGCAGACACCCCTGAGTCGGCAGGAGAGCCTCTCACTCAGACAGTGGGGCATGAGGCGAACGGCACTGGTGGAGGAGGTACCCCTCTTGGCAGCAGTGTTTCGGAAGGCACCTCTGAGTCAGAGGCCAAAATGCAGTTCATCTGCACGGAGTGTGGGGCGAACTTTCCGCAGCTCTCCCGCCTGAAGAAGCACCAGCTAAACTCGCACCCGGGCTCACGCTCCTTCCTGTGCCTGTGCTGTGGGAAGAGCTTCGGCCGGAGCTCCATCCTCAAGCTGCACATGCGCACACACACAGATGAGCGCCCCCACGCCTGCCACCTCTGCAGCCATCGCTTCCGCCAGAGCTCCCACCTGGCCAAGCACCTGCTCACTCACTCCTCAGAGCCCGCCTTCCTATGTGCCGAGTGCGGCCGCGGCTTCCAGCGCCGCTCCAGCCTCGTGCACCACCTCCTGCTGCACGCCCAGGACCTAAAGCCCACGCCCACCCCCGAGGCGGAGGCCAAAGAGGCGGAGGTGGCGGTAGTCCTGTGTTCCCACTGCGGGCAAACCTTTCAGCGCCGCTCCAGCCTGAAGCGACACCTGCGCATCCACGCCAGGGACAAGGATCGTCGGGGAGCAGAAGACTCACATGGCCTTAACTCTGGTCGCGAGCGCAGGCCCCATGCTTGCGGTGACTGCGGAAAGGCGTTCCGGCGCAGCGAGCACCTGGTGACTCACCGGCGCGTGCACACGGGCGAGCGGCCTTTTTCGTGCCAGGCCTGCGGCCGCCGCTTCACCCAAAGTGCACAGCTGGCCAGTCACCAGCGTGTGCACACCGGCGAGAAACCGCACTCCTGCCCGCAGTGCGGGAAGCGCTTCCAGCGGCGCGCCGGCCTCGCCCGCCACTTGCTGACCCACGGCGGCCCACGGCCCCACCGCTGTGCGCAGTGCGGCAAGAGCTTCAGCCAGACCCAGGACCTGGCCCGCCACCTGCGCAGCCACACTGGGGAGAAGCCATGCCGCTGCGGCGAGTGCGGCGAATGCTTCAGCCAGAGCGCCCACCTTGCACGACACCAGCGCATCCACACCGGGGAGAAGCCCCACGCCTGCGACACCTGTGGCCACCGTTTCCGCAACAGCTCCAACCTGGCCCGCCACCTCCGCAGCCATACGGGTGAGCGGCCGTACAGCTGCCCAACCTGCGACCGCAGCTTCCGGCGGAACGCCCACCTGCAGCGCCACCTGGTCACCCATGCAGGGCGGGCGCAGGAGCTGGAGGCCCCCCAGGAGTGTCACGAGTGCGGCAAGACCTTTAGCCGCAGCTGCAACCTGCTCCGCCACCTCCTAGTGCACACAGGGGCCAGGCCCTACACCTGTGCCCAGTGTGGCCGAGGCTTCAGCCGAAATTCGCACCTGCTGCGCCACCTGAGGACCCATGCCCGTGAGACACTGTACTAGCGGTGGCCGTGGTCTGGCACCAGCCCCACGTGTCCCTTCTAAGATGTCCCCGTCACGCCTGCCTCTCTCTGGCTCCTCCACATCTGTCCCCCACACCACTCCCACCCCAAGCCTTTTTCCCTGGTCTCAGGAATGCATTTCAGTACCCAAAGTAAAACTGCTCTCTTGAAAGTGGTTTCTGCCAGTGTGGTGGTGCATGCCTGTGATCACAGTGCTCAGAAGGCTGAGGCAGGAAGATTGCCCAAGTTTGAGGCCAATCTGGGCTACAAACAGTGAGTTAAAAGCTAGCCTGGACTACATAGTGAGACCCTGTCTCCAAAAATTTTCGTGCTCTCTCTCTCTCTCTCTCTCTCTCTCTCTCTCTGCTGGGGATGGAACTCAGGGCTTCACCCATACTAGGCAAGTGCTTTACCATTGAGCTACACTCCAGATCCTTTATTTAAGTTCACCACAGTGCATCTGTCACCCTTCCTAATGTGACACACCTGTGTCTTTCTCCTTCACCCACACCAGCATGTCCTTCAGGCTGTAGAGTGTTCTGACCAATACAGTGTGCACAATCTAGATGGGGCTCTATGTTTTGTTTTGGTTTTTTTTGGTACCAGGGATCGAACTCAGGTCCTTGCCCTTCCGCAGCAGACTGGGAAACCACTGAGCTAAATCCCCAGCCAGATGGGGCTCTTTAAACTGATTAAAATGGAAGGAAATATTAAGTCCCAGGTTCTGAATTGCTGTGGGAACCTCTCATCCTGGAAGTTTAATAAGTGTTTCAAGTTCACAAGGCAACAGGTAAACAGAACTTGCCTGAAGGCCAAGGCAGGGTATCAACCATGATCCTCTTAATCCATGTTGGTTTGGGCATTGCCCCACCCCTCCTTGCTAGCCACCAGGTGATCTCAGCTGCCTGCCTGCCACTAACTCAGCTGACTTCTAAAAATCAGGTGTGAAAAACTTCTAAGCCTGTTTCTTTACTCGGCTGCTTTGCAGCAACCACCACCACACACACACACACACACACATACACTGGGGATTGAACTCAAGGCCTTCAACCTGAGCTACATCCTTAGCCCTTTTGTTCATTTTTTAAAATTTTGAGACAGGGTTAGTACAGTTAGAAACAATGGAACTAAGGAAGTCATTCCCTTCCACTAATTTAATTTTAAACAACATCCCAGGATCATTCTTCCTTCCATTGTCCCTTGAGAGGTAGAGAATCATATTAAAAAAACCCAGTAAATCTCTGATGGTCTAGGCAAAAGCACATGCATACTGTATCTCCTAGCGTGACCTTCAGTTACCTTTACCCTACTCCAACCTTACTAAGGGCTTATGAATAGGCACTACATATCATATGTGTAATTAAGATCAGAGTGAATTCTGGGACAGACAGAGCCCTGAGACAACAGCCCCCTGTCAATCATACCAAGAGATTTGGGGGAGGCACCTGAGCTAAGGTGCAATCCTTTCACTTCTGAATGCTTGATTTATCTGGGGGCTGCTGCTGTGTGCTATGTTCTGTGTGCAGTGCTTTTGTTTTCCTATCCCCCCAGCACCACTTTTCTGTTCGTGCCATATCTTGTGGGCATGGACTTCCCCTGAGCACAGCTTCACCTAATCTTCAATAAATGTAGCTGCTAAAAAAATTTTTTAAATGTAGCTGCTTTCCACTTGCTGTCTGGTGTTCATTTACAATTAACTCCTTGCTCATTGTACACAAGAGCCTAAGTTATACCCACTAAATCCACCACACAGTAACAGGGTCTTGACAAATTGCCTGGGCTGGCCTGGAATTTTCCATCCTTCCACCTCAGCCTGTCAAGGAACTGGGGTTATATGCATGTGCCACTTGCCTAGCAAGGTGATTCTTTTTTTCCATCTTATTTGTGAGTGGAGAGAGAGCATTGAGGATCCAATCCAGAGCCTTCCACTTGCTAGGGACATGCTGTACCACTGAGCTAGAGATGGCTCTTGGGCACAATTGACAGGAAAGCTCTTAGCCCTGAGAAGGTCTATTTTTTTTTTGGTACCAGGGGTTGAACTCAACCTTGTGCTTGCAAGGTAGGCAGCAGAACCACTGAGCTAAATCCCCAGCCCCAGGAAGGTCAATTCTTGAGGTTGGCAGGAGGATTGGGTACAGACATTATCAGATGTCACAGAACAAGTGGATCTCATGGAAGACCTCAGACAAGAAAGTTTCAAAGAGGAAGGGTTAATTATCAAGAGAATGAGGGTGAGATGGGCTGGGAATTTAGCTCAGTGGTTCCGGTGCCTGCATGGCAAGCGCAAGGTCCCAAGTTTGATCCCTGGTAGCAAAAAAAAAAGAGAATGAGGGTGAGAGATTAGAAGAGCACATAGGACTTCATAGAACTAGAGAAAACAATCCAAAAATTCATTTGGAACCAGAAGAGACCTAGAATAGCAAAAGCAATTCTAAGCAACAGAGACATGGCTAGGGTATCACAATCCCCAACTTGAAACTATACTACAAAGCTACTGTGATAAAATTAGCATGGTACTGGCAAAGGAACAGACCTGAGGATCAGTGGAATAGATTAGAAGATGCAGAAACAACTCCAGACATGCTCAGCCACCTCATCTTTGACAAAGGAGCCAACCACACTCATTGGAGGAAAGATAGCCTCTTTAATAAATGGTGTTGGAAAAACTGGATTTCAACATGCCAAAGATTAAAACTAGACCCATACCTATCACTATGCACTAAACTAAGATAGAAGTGGATTAAAGATCTAAATATTAAGACAGAAACACTAAACTTACTGGAAGATAAGTTAGGTAGAACTCAAAGACATTGGCATAGGAAAAGACTTTATGAACAAAATCTCAGTAGTACGGGAGCTAACAAAGAATCAACAACTGGGATCTCATCTTACTAAAAAGCTGCACTGCAAGAGAAACCACCAACAGAGCTAACAGACAACTTACAATGTGGGAAAAAAATTTTAGCAGCTCTACTTTAGACAAAGGACTACTGTCTAGAATATATAAAGAATTGAAAAACATCAGACCCCCTAAATTCAAAGACCTAATTCAAAAATGGGCATCTGAAATGAAGAGACATTAATCAAAGAAGTAAAAGCAGCAAATAAACATATGAAAAAATGTTCAACATCAGTGGTCATTCGAGAGATGCAGATGAAAACAACACTGAGATTCCACCTCACCCCAGAAAGAATGGCTGCTATCAAGAAATCAACCAATAACATGCTGGCGGGGGTGTGGAGAGAAAGGAACCCTTCTCCATTGTTGGTGGGAGTGCAGACTGGTGCAACCACTGTGGAAATCAGTATGGAGATACCTCAAAGAACTAGAGCTAGAGGTCCCATTTGGATTTTTTTGTTTTGCTTTGTTTTTTGGTACCGGGGATCGAACTCAGGTCCTTGCACTTGCGCAGCAGGCGGTGAAACCACTGAGCTAAATCCCCGGCCCTAGAGGTCCCATTTGACCCAGCTATTCCCCTGCTGGGGATCTTCCCAAAAGAATTAAGAGAATCATACCACAGTGATATACGTGCACCCGTGTTTATAGCAGCACAGTTTGTAATAGCTAAAGCTTGGAAACAGCCCAAGTGCCCATCAACTGGAGACTGGATAAAGAAGATGTGGGTTTTTTATAAAATGGAGTACTACTCAGCCATAAAGAATGAGAAACTAGAGACACTTATAGCTAAATGGATCCATATCGAGGCCATACTCTTAAGTGAAATAAATAGGACACACGTGTAAATACTGAATAGTTTCTCTAGCGTAAGAAACTGAAAGTGTAAATAAGAATTAAAATTATTAAAATAAATAATTGATAATTTTAAATAGGAAGAAAAGGTCCAAAGGGGTAGGGGTGGTGGGAGGGGAAGGGGAGAGGAAAAATTATGAGAACAGGATAAAAAAAATGGAAACGAAGTCTGTGTAAATAGGGAAGGGTGGAGGAGGTGAAGGGCGCATAGGCAATGGGGAAAAAAAATAAGAACCAAGATGCATCATGTACAGGTACAAGCATCCAATGATAAATGTAAATGTATTGTATACCTAAAATGTACCAATAAAAGAATTTAAGGGGGAAAAAAAGAAAAAAGCAGAAAAAGAAGAGCACATAGGATATAAAATTATCATTTATTGAGGACCTTCTGGTGTCAGAGAATGTGCTGGGTTACTGAGAGGAACAGAGCCTGAAATACAATGGGAAGAGGACATCTTCAAAAGGCCAGGGATGTCAGGGATTTAGCTCAGTGGTGTTGCCGCCTGCTCAGCAAGCGCAAGGACCCTAGTTGGATCCTTGGTACCAAAAAAAAAAAAGGCCAAGGAGCTGGACATGGTGGTGCACCCCTGTAATCCCTGGAGACTGAGGCAGGAGGATCATCATGAGTTCAAGGCCAGCCTGGGCTACATAGTGAGTTCAAGAATTCAAGGCCAGCCTAAACTATAAAATGAGATCCTGTCTCAAAACGCAAAAAAAAAAAAGTGAGATCCCTGCAGAGGAAACTGTATGTGCAAAGGCCCTGGGAAGGGAGGCACCTGGCCTGCAACTGGACCATATTTGTCCTAGAGAGGAAATGTTCAGGGAACTGATGATATGGGGTCTGATAGGCCAGGGGAAGGGGGTGTTATGTGTGGAAAGACATGCTGAGGTTTTGAGGCAGGGGATGAATTCATTCCTACCAATGAAATCATTTAGGCTTTGACTGCTGCATGGAAATGGTTTGAAAGAGACAAAGACAGAGAGACCAGCTAAGAAGCCATTACCCTTGGCAAAGGGTTGTGGTGATGGTGACCATAGCATGGTGGGAGAGTTTTAGAGGTAAGAAGCCAAGTAGAGGTTGTAAGGGAGGGGTAAGTGGAGCTTTGACTAGGGTCATTGGAGAAGTGCAGGACAGGATATGAAAGAACTTGAACAGTGGCAGCCAGGAGAGTCAAGGTCATGGGAAATGCAGGGTTAGGACCTGGTGGTGGGCAGCCCCTTGAAGCCAGGGAAGAGGCCAGATGTGGGCCTTCCTGTCGAAAGGAACACCAGGATGAGAGGGTAAAAGGGGGGAGAGCCGCACCTGGCTTTGAAGGAAAAATAGCCCCTCGAAGTCCGGCATGGTAATCCATACCTGTCATCCCAGGCCCTGTCGGAGGCTGGGGGAGGAGGATTGGAAGTTCAAGCCCAGGTTGGCAACTTAGCAACTTAGACTTTGTCTCAAAATAAAAA